AGAGTTTCGGGAGACCCGGGCAGCACAGGATTTCTTTGCTACTTGCCGGAGCCCCAAACTGTGCTGTGAGCTGACCCTGCAGGTGAGCATCTGCCAGGGCAGGTCTGTGTGTCCCCTCTCTCTGCCTGGAGAGGGCCAAATGGCCCCAGTAAGTTGGCCAGCCTTTAGGGATGCCACTGCCCCATGTGCTTGTCCAGATCCTCCATGAGGAGGGGGTCCCAGCCCCTCACTGTCACTGCCTCTTCCCCTCTGCAGCCACTCAGACGATTCCCGCTGGATGCTGCCATCATCTTCTCCGACATCTTGGTGGTGCCCCAGGTGAGATCTATGGCTGGTGGTGGGCAACACTGGCTGGGAACAGGACTCGCTTCAGGGCCATCTCTTTCCTGCTTCTTCCATTCTCCCGTCCCCAGGCACTGGGCATGGAGGTTGTTATGGTCCCTGGCAAAGGACCCACGTTCACAGAGCCCCTGAAGGAGGTAGAGGATCTGCTGAAACTGCGACAGAAGGTGGACGTGACCGCGGAGCTGGGTTATGTCTTCCAGGCCATCACGCTGACACGACACAGCCTGGAGGGCAGAGTGCCTCTCATTGGGTTCTCGGGGGCACCTGTAAGTGACGTGGCTCCTCTTGGTGGGCCTCCCAGCTGGGCTTCTCTTTCTTCTGGGGTGACACTGGTCTTGACATTCCCAGAGCTGTGGGTGTGAGAGTGGTGCATAGGTGAGGGACATCTGGTGCAGGAGCCGCTGTGCCCTAGGCTTCAGGGGGCTCACAGGTCCTACCTTCAGCACTGTGACCAGCCCCTCGAGTCTTCTTCCATCTCCATCACCGTCCTCACTCCACTTCTTTCTGCAGTGGACGCTCATGTCCTACATGATTGAGGGTGGCGGCTCCACTACAATGGCCAAGGCCAAGAGCTGGCTCTACCGTCACCCTGAGGCAAGTCACCGACTGCTGCGGCTGCTGGCTGATGTCATCACTGACTACCTGGTGGGCCAGGTGGCAGCTGGAGCGCAGGTGTGTCTTGTGGCATGGGGACTGGGCCGGGCAGGAAGGCAAGGCCTGGGGACGCAGAGCAGAGAGGGTCCGGCTTCTGGGAGAAGGAGGTACAGCTCTGCCAGCCCCGTGTCCTCCGCAGGCACTCCAGCTGTTTGAGTCCCATGCAGGGCACCTGGGCCCGGACCAGTTTCAGGATTTTGCTCTGCCTTACATCCGAGACATCGCCCAGGCTGTCAAGAGCAAGCTAAAGGAGGAGGCGCTGCCCCTGGTGCCCATGGTGAGTTGTGGCTGGTGGGGTTTCACCAGCAAC